AAAAAAAAAAACAAAAATTATAATTGAATCATAACTATAAAAACGTGTCAATCGTCGACGGTTACGTTTCCATTGGATTCCAGGATAACTTATTGTAAGGACATTATTATGGGTTAACTCATTTAGGGTAGAAACTAAGCCCGGAGATATTTTCAGATAGACGTGGCTGAAATTTCTATTTTTTTGGTAAGTGTTTCGCCTTCATCATCATCATCATGAATCCATTATTATTACGTTGGACAAAGGATAAGATGGGTCAAAACAGAATCAAAGAACATATGTTTTATTTATTTATTTTTATTAATTTTAAAGTAATCCAAGAAAAAATAATTACATTCGTGTAAAGCTTACTGACAATCGTACACATACATGGTTTATACAGGTACTTCATATCTTCCATAAAATTGTTTTTACCTAAGTAGGTACCGGATGTTACAATTATATTAACTTATCTAACTCTTGACATCTAATTTAAAATGGTTCTAATAAAAATTTAAATAGGAAACTATAGCGTACCTAAATACCTACACGATAATTTTTTAACTAAACAAACTACAATTAAATATTAATTTGAATTGATTTTCGTATCTTGACTAACTAGCTTGACAACTACATATGTACAAATAAGTTAGTACGTATTTTTATTTTGCGACTTTAGCAAAAAAACAAAAAGCTCCATGTCCTCCAAAGTAAATTTTAAACTTGAACCAGTATAAACCATGATGTTTACGTAAAACAGAATAAGTGAATGAATGTCTTTCGACTTGAATTTCCGGGACAAAANAAGGATTTGTGGCACAAACTGGCAACATCTCTGCATTTCTTAAAATTAAGTATTCGCCAATTTTACAAGGACCTCTCCTATAAATAGGGAAACAGCCCTTTGCATCGGGAAGGTATACGTATCCTGCAATTGTTTTTAATAATTACAATTTAAAGGTATTAATAATGTTTAATTTAACACACGCACCAGGTGAGCAATCACAAATCCAATCCGCTTTTTGATTTCCAGGATAAAGAAGTTCATTTTCTGGACAGTAATAGGGTGCAAATAGGGGAACTCTGTTCTATAAATAAAAAATTGGTTATCTGGCGTAATACCATTAGTTTGTCTTGTTTGTAATTATTATTAATAGACTATTAAGTGAAAGCTTACATTTTCATTGTTCTTATTGTGATTAGCGTCATTTTCAGGAAAAACGATAATTTCTTTTCTACCCTGTAAACTAACACCACCAAAACTGATTGTCACACACAATAATAACACTGTCACAATTTTTAACAACGAATGAGTACGTTGTTTGACCATTTTTTTTTGTTTTAATTAAAATCTGTTTTCATTAACAAATCCTATTTCATTGATTAAAAACTAACGCATGCAATGACCGATTAAATATTCACAGAGAACTTCGTGAACTTTTATCAGTGGCTTTTAGTGATAATACAGACACATATTCGCAACAAATGTAACAACAACAATAACGTATAAATATATTTTAGAAATGAATGAATGTAAATAAATTGTTTGCCATGTGTACAACGTATAAATAATATTATGCTTGACTCCCGTTATTATTGTTTGTTACTGTTGTATCAATTAGTTAGTATTCTTTCGTCATTTATAAAAACCCAGAAGAAAAAACCTTTCTCGACATACGGTACGTCCCAAACGTGTAATTTATACACTAAAAAATATTAAATAAAAATTAATAAAGGATTAATTGTTTATGGAACAAATAAAACTTGAATGCTGACATATTTTATTGGACCTTATTCTATCAGTTCTGGGGAGATACAGAACCCTAAAACTCCAAACAAATACTTTTATTTTTCTGGTCTAATGTAATAAATTATAATTCAAAAATTTGCAATATGAAATTCTTCTTTTAGTTTTAAAATTGTGTTAAAAAATAATTAAAACTAAACCCAGTTAAAAAGTAGCATAGTTTTCAATTGAAGCTTTTATTTGCAATAAACTTTTGGCAATATGCTAATAATTTATAAAGGTACCCCTTACTTATTATTCTTTGATTAGCAACAATTTCGATAAGATTAAACG